AAAAAAAAAAAAAAAAAAAAAAAAAAAAAGGAAGAAAAATGGCCTGATCTTCAAAGTTCACTTAACAAAAGAAAACTGTTCATAAGGAGGTGACATCTTTTTTCTACATTTATTTCCTAGCTTAATAGTATCATAACCAGAAGGTAATAGCTTTTCACAGTAAATATGGTCTGCTCAGACTAATTCCAGAGCTTTTTCTGTTAATTTTAGATCACTTCAATGCTTTATTTTTAGTGCTTGTTATTAAGTGTATATTGCCTCAGGCAAATTGTTTGTTAGCGTGGCATACTGTAACATTTCTGTACTGATGGCCCCACGTTATATCCCAATATGTTCAAATCTCTGTGATTTCTTGTGGTTTGGATGACACTGAATCCTTTATCAGTTTTATCTCACTAAATGCAAGCAGCACTGCACAATTTTAACTCTGCACAAAACATGTTTCATGTGTAAGGGGTCAGTCTTTGGACACAACAGTGTGAAATTCAACTATGCCCTGAACAATAAAGCAACTCAAGATTTTATATTTACCGAAGTAAAGCAAATCATGAATATGATCTGGAATCCAGATTTTTTTTTTTTTACTTTTATGTTAAAAGTGGAAAAAAATCATTTGAAAATTCTAACTATAAATCATTTTAATTGTTTATATTTGCATTATTTTCTGTGTTTTATTTTCTGTAAATTATCAGCAGTTCAGGTCATAGCTTTTCAGCATCTGTCATCTTTTGTTGCAATTCTTTTCGGACCTTTCTGTACACTGTCACCCGTGGAAGTACTTTGAAGCATGGTGAGTGTTTTGAAGCAGTGACGTGCCTGTGACTTGCCCTGTTCCCCGAATCGGGACATCTAGGTGGTGTTTCTGATGTCAGGCTGAACTTCATGGTTGGGCAAGGCAAGGAAGGGTCCTGCAAGAGGTGGGATTTGGGAAGGGTTTGGAGCAGCCGGCTGTGGCCGGAGAAGAGCAGATGCCTCCCACAAGGCTGGCTGTGCGCGGGAGCTCCCGCGGGCTCCCGCGGGCTCCTGGCTGGTGGCCTGGTTGGGGGCGTGGGGTCCAGCTGCCCGCGGGGAGGCAGAGGCTGGACGCGGCGCTCAGTAAGTGCCAGGGAGAGAGGGGCTGTTCAAACCGCCGCTGGGGCCAACGTGCTGGGATGTGTTTGTGTGTGTTGCAGCACCCCTCCACACGCCGCATTCACACTGCTGTGCCAGCTCCTTCAGATGGACCTGCACTGAGAATGGTCCTGGTGACATTGCTGGGGCTGCTCAAACCCTCACAACGTGTGACCTACGTGTGCTGAAGTGGGAGAACTCAATTTGAAATCAGTGTTTCAGCACAGAGCTTACCAAGGCAAGGCTGTTTGCAGGCCCAAGGTTTTGTTTCCCTGATGTGGAAATGACATTATGTGTTCTTTTATGAAACAATTAGACATGAATCAAACCTATTTTCCATTAGTGCTTTAATTTCCCCCGTGAATATGGCAGCTTTTTCTGTCGTTCCTGTTACTAATATTGATGTGGTTATTGTCACGGGGGGAGATGGAAGGACTATGAATGAAGCTGCACCAACAGTAGCCTATTGGGGAGAACAATAGGGAGGCATGGATAGTATCCTGCTACATACTCCATTTGTTATGATACCCACGACGTGGGTTACAAAGCCAGAAGATGCTCAAAACAGCTGGGCAGAGTCTAAAGATCATTTCAGAGCATCAAGATTGCCTTAAACGTGCATTGTCAGGGTGACTGAACATCCAGCTTTTTAGACTCCATCTGCTTGGTTTCCATGATGCTTTGGGCTCTAGAGGCTGTTAACTACCATATGCTGGGATTTGTAAGTCTGTTTGGGTTGTACGTATGCTCCTTTTGGCCAGAGCTTTCTCGTTGCTGTGTGTCTGAAGCACTTGGCATAGGGAGTCCTGAGAGGTGTTTCCCATGACTTTCCCTGACTGGAAGAAAACACGGACTCCTAAGTGCTGCAACCTATAGAGAGTCTTAAATGGAAAGGATGAGGTACAGACGTAAGATTGCAGTGCAGGTTGCTAATCTTTTTTTTTTTTTTTTTTTTTTCCTTCCCTTTTGTGCTTGTGTACACTGATAAAAACTGATTGAGAATATACACACATTTTAAAATATACTAAATATACTTACAACCGTCTCCTGTGCAGGGCTCTTTTGAGTTTTGTAAAATCAGCCCATAATTTAAGTTCCCACAATAATTTATCTCATAAAGGAACCTGCCGATAAAAGAAAACACAGAATCAAGCACAAGCCATAAAAATACTTGCCAGCATCCTAATGGCATTTAAACACAATTTAGTATATTTAATTCACCATGTAATTAATTGCGAAATAACTTGACTCGCAATGGAAATGTGATTTCAAAATTGCAACGAGCTAATTCAGGCATTTAGTTACGAGCCCTGCCAAGGGCTGCAAAGTCCATTATGTTTGTTCCAAAAAAGGCAGGAATAGAGTAAGTGCCGGAGGGCAAAACATATTTTTTCAATATATTTGTGGAGCTTAAGCTATATTTAATGAAACTGCTTAAAAAAAAGGAGGAAGGTTGAAAAGGGATGATTATAACTTCTTTTTTTTTTTCCCCCCTTACTCGCTGCCTGCCCGCTTAGTGCCCTGATTTATTCTGCTGCATTTTTAGCTCAGGTTACGCGTTTCTGACGGGCCCTGATTAATTTGGCCCCGACGAGCGTGACCCCCGCGCCGTGCGCAGCGCAGCGCTCCCCGCGCGCGCCGCCACACGGTTAATTACGGCGGCGGCGGCGGCGGCGGGGAGTCCCCGCGGGCGGGGCGCGCGCGCGCGCGCGCTGGGGATTCCCCCCCTCCCCGCTCGGAACGTTCGGGATCGTTCCCGTGACGTCACGCGGGGCTCCCCGCCGGCGGAGGGAGGCGGCGGGTGGGAAGCCCCGCTCGTCGCGCCGGGCCCGCAGGCCCCGCCCCCGGCTGGCGGCGTCCCGCGGCGCGCGGCTCTCGCGAGGCTTGGGCGCGCAGAGCGGTGCGGCTCGCGGCGGCGCCATTTTGGGAGCGAGGCGAGCGGCGCGTGCGAGTGAGTGAGGGAGTGAGTGAGGGCGGGCGGGAGCGATGGAGCGAGCGCGGCGGGCCGGGCCGGGCCGGGCCAGGCCGGGACCCTCCGCCGCTTCCAGGGGGGCGCCGGGGACGCGGCCGC